TACTGATCTCTCAGGTTATGAGAGCGCGAAATGTTAGCCACTACACCATACCGGATTGATACGAGGCTTCTTTGGGAAACCGCAACACTGCGGGTCACCAAGTCGATTTAGCTACACAATGTGCCAACCTTCAAGAGGTCTACGATCAGTTCTATTCAATCCTCAATACTGTTTTGGGGACAGGTCCAAGCATACTGCAACTTCCGACTCTGTCTCGATTGTCAACTGAGCCTAGCTAGATACACAAGTCTGATGTCTATCTGTCAGTCATTCAAGTGTGTTACAGCGGACAAGAATTCAATGCTAGCCTGATCTTACCGGGCTCAAGAACACTAGGAACCCTTTCATTTCCCCTGCGCTTCAGTATTGAGAGTATATAGCTGGGCCTGACAGCTTTCGTCACAGACAATCTTTTTGAAAACCATGAAAATTCAGGGGTATGTGACATGGCTTGTCACAATAAGTCCAGTCCGATGATGCCTGCAGCGATGAGGAACAGTCATGATATTGTCAAAAGCATGAGAGAAACCATCAAGATTGAGGACATTCAAGGGACCTTTATAGTCCTTGACAATCTACCCATGAACGCGGCCGACGGGTGGAATAGGAACACTGCTTCAGGGACAACATTCGGGGGCATAGGACTGCCGTGAAGAGAACAATTGAAGCAGATTGAATGTGATTTAAGGTGTTCTTTTGGGTTTCTTTGTTGTTTGGGTCCGCGTGGATGAATCTTTTGATAGTTGGGATATACCACTATCCTTCCCACCACCATAGCCTCAAACCGGCCATCAACCAGACAGAACGCACACACAAGAGGCTGGGAACACTTGTCTGAGGTCCGCATCCTTCAGTGAATGCACTGAAAGTCGAAAAGGACGTCAAAATCTGCAAGAGAGGCCAGGATGACTTCTTTGGTATGTCCTACGGAAATGCATAACTCGCTGCATATTATACAGTGATGATCCTACGACTGGCTTAACCCTGTCCGAGTCATTATAGTTCCTGTCGAGCTGAGGTAAAATTCGAGTTGAACCTGCTCCGTAACCCTTGGCCGAGAAGTTTAGGTTCCTCCTTTTTGGCGTAGATGAACTAGCACCACAACCCGAGCTCGACCTGTCTTACTTATTTTACTGGGACTGAGTTATTGATAAAAACTCCCCAGGGAATCCTGTTTAACAAAAGGTGCCAGCATCCATTTTACTTGCGTCCTCCACCATGAGGTTCACAACCTGGAATGACCAAAGTTGCGGCTTTGTGCTGCCCAAGGTTATCTTGAACACATCCCATGTTATCACCTGGATATCTCACTGAATTGATTTCTGTCTACGGAGGCAGAATTCTTTATAATCAGCAAGCCATTGTCAGGATATTGCAAAATATCTTCCCGAGTTTCAAGAACCATTGGAAATTGACCAGCAAAGTAATTCAGGGGTAAGCCAAGATCTACACTCCACAAAGACTACCTTAGCTGGAAAACAACAGAATTGAGGGTACTTGTATTTGATACCGCCAAAGCCTACGCGGGTTACGTCAAGTTTGGAACAAGTTCTCGGAGTTCTTCCCCTTGCGGTGCCGTGGCACTGTCAGCGACTGTCAACGACTACCAGTTGCATCACTTACGGCCTCAACCTTAGGGCAAACGAACCCCCATTTCGTATGCACAGAATTGAATAAACTGTGCCTCTTGCTGTAAAGCCTTTCCCCTCCAACTTTCCCCTCCTCCTCTCCTTTTTTCCTCAGCAGCAGCACCACCACCACAACCACAACCACAACCTGGTAAGTACATTGTTCCCTTACGCGTGCCCCAGATGTATTGAGGAAAACAAAACTCTGACACTTTGAAATAGTAGTGACAGCTACTACTCTGCCTCGTCATGTTAGGGGTCGCTCGAGAAGAGGAGAATGAGTTCTATGGCCAACCCCCAAGCCAGCCAGAGTCACCTCTGGTAATTGCCACTCACTTGTGAGTAAAAGACAGGGCCTAAGAAACTGGTCCCCTCCGGCGCGCAACAAGCGCACCGCATGTCGTGCTGGCATCGACTGCGGAGTTTTACTTTTCAACGTCTCTTCTAATGAGACACACCCTGCCCAAACAAGAAACTTGTAAGTACACCAAACAAATGATGAATACATACAAAGTGCTAATATCTCAGGATTTGATCTGATTAGATTCAAGAAGATGTCGCTTCTTCCGATCTCTATCCTGCGACAAAAAACACTCTGTCCCCTCATACCATCCTTGCCATCTCTATATCCAACATCAAAATCAACATCGAAAGATATTCCCAGTTCAATTTTGCACACCGCGATTGTCACGCAAAGCATTTGTTCCTTTACATGGATATTATGTTCTCGTTTTGTTTCCAAGATCAACACCAAGTATTTCTTTCACAAATTCCCCTCACCAAACCCAGCTCGGACCTACATCTACAGTAGTCTGAGGATAAACTGCATAGCATGAAAACTGCTGGTTGGTTGGCTCAAAACGCAACATGAGCCAAAGACTCATCCTCATTGTCTCTGGTATACCTCGAGCAATAATAAACCTTGCCCCAGGTTTGAGGAGTGCGTTCGGACGAAACGCACTTAACTGTACCCTCGTCCATCACCACGTTGCCCCCGATCTTTTCGGTTTGGTGTTTGGGTCTTATTCTTTTCTCTCGCCTCTATGACCATTATCGACTGGCAGCAGCTACCGTATGGATCATCGACTAGCACCACTGTTTTCATGGCTTTACGTCTTCTCGACCTCTCCCGAGGCCTTTCCGCCCCTTCACGACCCATCTCTGTCATCGTTTGTATGGAATGGACTCAGGCTCTTTTCAACCCGAGACTCGCCATCGCTTCCGTCGAGGTTTGGTTTGTCGCAAGATAAATCGCAATCTGGGTGAGATTGATGCAGAGGCCGGTGCTTGGCAACTGGCATGGCTGGCGCTAGATCAACAAGAAGGGCATACTGAACAACAATGTTACCTAGAGACACGATGACTTTCTTGCTCAAGGTATCAATTTCCAGATCATCTGGTTTACTTTACCGCCCATCGAATCTTCAGTCTGCTCCGCACCTGCAAGCACATGCTTTTCGCAAGCATTTCCATTCAACTCCCTTGCCATCGACTTACACAAGACATCGTTGGACTAAGGTGCTCATGGCAACCAACCTCCTGCTGAGCCATCCTGGTCAAATGTCCGTGAAACAAGAGGCTGGATTGGTTTGAAAGCTATGCCCTCACACTAGTTTATACGACTAGATTACCTTCTGTCGAGCCGAACTACGTTCGCTGACATCCTGTTTTCCCGCTTTAGGTGGATATGATGCAACTCAGAGTTCCTGACCGCAACAATACCCACAGACCTTGCCAAGTTCAATTAAGGAGATCAGACTCATCGCCGGAATGATTGAACAGCACTGTTCTACCGAGAACTCAAATACATCCCTCTCTTTGGCTTGCATGCAATGGTATCCAAGACCTGGATGTGCTTGGCTTCGGCATATAGTCTCAAGGTTGCACGTTCCTCAATAGCATCTGGACTTGATGTTCATTTCCTCCGCCAGCAAGACACACACCCGCAGTCTTATTCAGTCAAGTCTCAGTCTTCCTTTCAGTCGCTGACTGTGTCATCACATTCCAAGCCAACACCGTCAAGGGCTCGGAGTACGCGACTCAGCTGGCCATGACGGAACAGATATTATATCTGAACTACAATGCTCATAATACGGGTTGCTGGAAGCTCAAGTCAACCACCACAAGCTCGACTCTGCAACAGCTGGCGATGGAAACCTCCATCTAACGGAGAAGTCTTGATGACGCGTTCTGCGTGTCCTTGGCTGTACCTTCGAACTTCACCAATTGCCCATCATTTATAAGTCATCGCCGCGGCAACCTTATTTTGCTTTCGCATATCTAATGTGTTTCCAGTCAGTGATTTCAGCTCCAGTCTGGTGGTCTGTTTCATCTCAAGTCCAACCTCACTCTCGTCCTTGCGGCGTCGACAACTCCGAGTTGCTGCGGACCGATTCTGGCTTGACACATTCGAGTCTTTCCGGTTGCCGACGACAACTGGTATCGATCGGACATTCTTTGCTGTGACATCCAAATTCTATACATGATGCGCAATACTCGGAGGGCATCACAGAAAGTTGAACTCGTGTCTGACCAATTGATACCTCATGAAGCACACTCCAGCGTCAAGTGTTACATCAGATTCAACTTCAAGCACGCCTAGACCCGGATAAACGGCTACAGCTGTCATTCATAGCTCACGATGGAGTAGAGAGAGTGAGTGCCGTTGGTGCTGATAAGCTCATTGAAGTTGGAGACAATCAGGCGTTGGCAGGTATAGAAAGACGCGAGTCTATTGCTATGATCGGGCTGGAAGGAAGGGGCTGCTATTTAGTACAGATACTTCATCAAACGATAAATATATGGGGACTAAACAGGTGTTCCAGATTACACAGACTGTAATTAAATCGAAGGCTTGCTCTGACGTTGTTACTCCTCACGCATGTTGCAGTGCCTCTATTGTTGATCACGTTTTTGGACCTAGTAGGAAGACAAACCCCATTTACCGGCAGATGCTTGAACTTTGATGCAAATAGAATGTGATCGAATGACAGAAAAGCGACCTCCTGGGCCCTTTAACCCTCTTCTGTGTCACCTCTAGAATCTACTGTATTTTGGTCATTCATAGCAGTCTTCATAAGGAGCCGGTGATGTACGATGACAGTATGGACATCAAGGGCTGTCATCATGGAGAAGTTCACGATGCCCGTTGCCAAGTACTGTTTAATGTGGGTGATGCTGACTCTCTAGTCTTTTTGAATTTTCTAGACACAAGATCTTTATGAAGTACACCTCTGATACGCCCCTATCCATGGAGATGATGGTTGAACTCCCCAACCGTCTGTGTTGAACGCGCCTAAATCTCAGTATGCAACGCCGATATGCACCAATTTTCCCTTCATCTTAGTCTATCGTCTTTTCTTGAAGAAGTTTCTAGGCATCGCTGGTCTTTTCTTTCTCCTTTTCATCTCCAAATTCATCACCAAACTCCTCAACAATCCAGAGACAAAACTTCTCCCACTCGATCTGCCACTCTTGCATTCTCTTGGCCTTGACATTCGTCCCAAGACTAGCCTGTTTGATGTCGTTGATCCAGTCAGCCTGGCTCTGGTCCTCAAAAGCGGCCCATCTAACGCTGTTCTCCGCGAGACTGCCAAGGCCTGCGAGACCAAGGTTCTTCCACCCCTGGAGAGCCTGCCAGAAATCGTGTGACATGCCGGCTGTGTCTTGCCCGAGCATAGCGGGATCATCGTTACACAGACTGCAAGCAACACCACGAGCCAAAAGGGCGGGCAGGGG